ACCTTTGATGTCCAACATAGGCAAATCAGTAAGTGGAATACACCTCATTAACAAAATGAATAAAACCGTATAATATACCAGTGGGCGCAAAGAACGCATTTGATCAAATACAACATCCTTTCATGGTAACAATCGTAAGCAAGTTGGGTTGAGATACAACGTATCTCAACATACTAAAGGCAATATGTAACAAACTCACAGCGAGCAGATCATCCAGCATGGAGCATCCTGTAGAATGGGGAAGACCCACAGCATTTCCACTAAGATCCTGAAAGGACAAGCACGCCCACTCTCACCATTACTACCAAGCACAATTCTGGAAGTTTAGGAGCCATTAGACAAGAAATCAAAGTGATACAAATAGGAAATGAGGAAGTGAGATTACTCCTGTTTGCAGATGACACAATTCTATACAGAGGAGAATAAGAAGCCTCTACTAAGTGATTGCTGGAATTCATAAGAGTTTGGTAAAGTGGTAGGATAAAAAAAAAGGCTCACAAAAATCAGTAACACTTGTGTACGTAAGCAATGCTACGGCTGAGAAAGCACTTGTAGGATCAGTACAATTCACAATAACTACAAAAAAATGTAAATATCTTAGGACAAATTTAACCAAGGATGTAAACAACCTCCACAATAAGGATTAGAAAACAATCAGGTAAGCAACAGATGACCAAAATACGTGAAAATCTTCCATGTTCATGGACTGGAAGACTCGATATGAGCCAAAAGCACATGCTGCCAAAAGTAGAACAGATTCAATGTGATCCCAATCAAAATATCTTACATTCTTCTTGGATCCAGAAAATCTGACATTAAAGTTTATATGAAAACACAAGAGGCCCTGACAAAGTAATTTTAAACAGTAAGAACAAAGCTGAAGCCATCAGATTACCAAACATTAAGACATATTCAAGGTGCCAGTGCCATGGCTCAACAGGCTAATCCACCTCCTGCAGGCACCAGCTTCTCATTTGGGCACCAGTTGCTAGCTGTAAGCAGCAGAGGGTGGCCCATGTCCTTGGGCCCTGCACCCACACGAGACCTGGTAAAAGTTCCTGGCTCTTGGCTTCGGATCAGCCCAGGGGCCAGGCAGTGGCCAGGCAGGGATCCACCAGGGATCAGCCAGGGATCAGGCAAGTATCAGACAGGAAGGGATCGGGCAGGAGCTAGGCAGGGACAGGGTCATTGGACAGGGACAGTGCCACCAGGCCGGAACCAGGCAGGTCCCTTAACTCAAAATCCAGTATTTAAAAAAAAAAAATAAAGGCCTGGCTTCTGCCCATGATGTTCCAGGTTCCATCCTGACAACAAACCCACCAACTCACACATCTCCACGGAGACCCAGGACCTAGGGGGGTCGTGGCAGAAAAGCAGTGGGAGCAAAACACTGCTCCACGGTCACAGCGGAGAAAAGCTGATGGACAGCACGGCAAGGCTGCTACCCATCAGGGAAAATGGACGGGCAGCAGGGACAGCCACGGCAGCCTGAACAGAACGGCAAGGCACAAAGCGCAAGAGAAGGAAGGGTTTGGTTGAGCCTCGGTATTCTCAAAAGAAAAAACAAAGAGTTTGCCTCTGACGTTAGAGATGGACCAAAGAGAATCTGGCCTCTCCGGCATGATTTACACTATGAAATGAACTAAGCCACTGAGACAAATGTCTTAACTTCCTTGACAGTTTTATTTGGCATCTTTGATTTTTCTAATCTTACCTCAGTGCTACTGTAACAGCAAAACGGGTAATAAAAATGAAGTACATGTCTTTCAAATATTACCGTATTTCACATAGATTAGTAAATCCAATATTTACAAACAGCTAAACGGGCATATTAAAATACTGTGGCTACCAGGGCACTACTTTGAACACCTCTATTTCTATTGGGTTGAGTTGGTGGAAACTAGCAGCGCACCAGCGGCCTGCTTAGGGAATGGCCACAGCCACGAGTGGGTAACCTGGGCACCTGCCAGTGGGACTGTCTGCTTTACAGGACACTCACTCGACTCCTGCTGGTGCTTTACTGAATGGGGACGCTTCTGTCACAGGCTGTCCACGCTGAGCCCCACCATACGATGGTCACTAAGCCATGATTTGAAAAGGGATAAAAGCGTATGCTTGCACTTGGACACACACCTTTGGACTGACAACTACAGACACTGAATTCCAAATCCAGACACGGCCCGTGTCACAAGTGGCAGACCAATGCAGAGCCGAGAGCCTCTACCCCAAACGGTCTCACCAGAAATTTCAACACAAAATGTTCCAAGTGGAGGCCGGTGTTGTGGCCAGCTGGGGCTCCACATGCAAAGCCCACATGGCATACTGATGCCAGTACGTCTCCTACCTGCTCCCCTTCCAATCCATCTCCCTACTAATGCCAGTGTCACAGGTGGCGGTTTTACATACTAAGCCACAACTACAACCCAGAAAGTCCTTCTTGACATGGTAACTGACTTGCTCATGAGTCATCCTAACCCTCCTATGGGTCCCTCAATCTCCTCCATTCCTCTTAATGTCCGCTGCATGTGGGACTAATCTGAATTACAATTCTCTAGTTTGGCCTATTCCACTTGGAAAACAACAAAGGAAAATATATGATCATTTCTGTGCCCCTTACGGCAATAACAATGATCTCAACCGCTTACAGATTGATTGTTCACACATTTTTTGCTTTATCCAGAAACACAACCTCCACTCACACATTGCCCCACTACACAAAAGAAAGCAGCAACTGAGGGAAAAATGTGTTTCACAACCCCAAGTGGGGCCACTCCCTTGGCTTAGGCACCTGGAGAGAGAGGAGTGCAGGGGAGGACAGTCCTGGGTGCCCAAGGATGCAGAAGCTGGACAGGCTCAGCTTCTAAAGCCAACCGCTCCCAGGTGAGTCCAGGCAAGCCCCCAGAGACCTCCAGACCCACCCGCACCGGCACCATAATTAGATGGTGTCTCCACCTTCCACGCCTCAAGCACGGGCAGGTTTCAATGTCTGTCAGAGCTTGGGAGCCAAGCCTTGTTCCAACTAGAAGGTCTTCTGCAGCCCTGCTGAGAACCAGCCACTATGTTTCTAACAGATCTCCCAAACACACCCCAGCCGTATAGTTATGTCTCCCCAGCTGCCAGCCCATTAACATGCGGCGAGGGGGGGAGGTCCCTTCTTCATTCCAAACACCTGAGTGAGAAAGCAAGCTCAACAGTGGGAAGAGACGAAAGCGCCCTACAAAAGTACTCTGACCAACTCTGAAGGAATAGAGAAACAGACCAGCATCCCTGGAACATCGCCTGGCAAAGCTGAACAAGAAACAAGGTCTCTGCTTAGCATCAGAGCCCCTGCCCCCAAAACGCGCATCAATAAACCGCGCTTCTCTGACATGCTCACACGAGGCAGAGTGAAGGCTCTATGGGCCCTCGACACAGGGAGCAGCTAAATTCCTAATTAACAGCCTCTACCTCACTCTTCTTTAAATGTACCCAGTTCTTTTTTTTCGCACTCTCTTCTCTCCTACACCATTTCAGGTATCCGGAGTTCCTGCTTTTCCCCACTTTTTCCACCAAAAAGCTTCCATGTTCTTTCACTTCAGGCTCTGAGAGCCCACACAGGGCTAGCTAATCCTTCCTTGTCCAACCACAAACTGACACCACTTAATAAACTGCAGTTAACAACAAAGTGCCTCTAGAGTAAATTGGAAATACATAAATACTATTACTATTTTACACCTAAGAACTGAACCCAGTTCTTCTGGCCCCAAGAGCAAATCACTTTGCAAACACATTAAGGATCTACATCCTAAGACGTACGGTACGGTCCGTAGCTTCCACGAGGCCATCACAGCCAACCCTGTGTGATTCCCTGGGTGCCTCCTTACGGCCTCTGCCGTTCTAGAACCACGCACGCCCAAATTCAATGGAAAAAAAGCTCTGTTCACGAAACCAAAACTTCTGCGAATTCTAAAAAAGCAGACTTTTTACCTCCTCTTTAGCCATGAGCTTCTGAGCCAAGAACCCCTCACTTCCGTTTTGAACGCCATTTCTGGCCCTCAAGTGTCTGAGATAGTGTTTTAACCTCAAATTCATTTATTAATATTTGTGGACCACGACTCTGGAGTCCTGTAGAACCCGGGCCCAAAAAAAATCACCTGCATATCTGCTGACCTTCCTTTAAAAAAAAAGAAAAAGACAAAAAAAGGTTGCAAGCCGATCCTTAATGCTCGTGTGTCTGAGCACATGCAGTAGTCCGCAATGCTGCCATCCCATACGGGCGCTTTGCGTCCCGGCTGCTCCACTGCTCATCCTGCTCCCTGCTAACGGGCCTGGTAAAACAGCGGAGGGTGGCCAAGTGATTGCAGCCCTGCACCCACCTGCAGGCAACAAGAGACGCCCCTGGCTCCTGGCTTGAACCTGACTCAACAGCAACCACCATGGCCATTTAGGGAACGAACCAGGAGACAGGAACTCTCTCTCTCTCCCTTTCAAATAAATGAAACACATTTTTTTTTTAAGGAGGGGGCCACTTACTGCAACAGAAGTGAGTCACGGGGCTCGGTAGTGTGACCTGAGATCCTGGAAAAGCCAAGTTTCCCTAACCTTATTCTGCCCAGTTTCTTTGCTAGCTGAGAAGCCCAAAGGCAGTCACGTTTATATTGTTACCTGATTTGCCTATCAGCAAACGGGGAAAACAGCTGAAGCCCAATCAAGAGTGTCAAAAGCCCGAGAGTGAACACTACCTCAGGTCCACCTGAGAGAAGCCTGCCTTGGTCCACGGGCTCTCGCCAGGTGCAAAGGCACGGGACACGTCGGGGCGCTCTAGAGCCCTGGACCGTCTTCCGTGCATTTCCCTGGCTTTCCAGCGCCTGGCATTTTTCTGCAAGAACTCAAAAAGTTGGAGTGACCTGGGAGGCGATGGCGTGCCTGGCACCTCTCCACCCTGCTCGAGATAGGCGCGCTCTGAGCAGGGCAACCCGAGACACCAGCAAGGAACCCCCCCTAAGCTCTGGGTCACTTGCCTCCCATTCCTGTAGGAAACGCTGGGCCTCGGCAGCACCCACGGCCTTATGCCTCCTGAATTCGTCCTTCACGTACTGGTCGCCCAAGGCTTTGAGGTCTGGGGGCAGAACCCGGTGCAACTGCAACAGGCGCCGGTACAGGGCTCGGACCCGGAAGATGTGCGGTCCGGCCATGACGCCGCGCGCGTCTCCACGGCCGGCGCCTGCGCACAGCGACCGCGCTTCTCCCCGCCCCATGGTCAAGCCGGAGAGACCCGGAAGTGGGGCGGAAGGCGGCGCGCCCCCAGCGGCCGGCCCGGTCCGCTCAGGAATCCGGTCCTTCCGGAGACGCCGACTGGACAGTGGGCGGAAGGCCGGGCTCTTGGCCGGGGGCCGCGTGCGCTGCAGCGAGAGCCGGCTGTCACCTTGCAGGGCCAGCCCACCACCCTTTCCGTCCAGCCGTGTCCCCTGTCAGATCTGCCTAAATGGACATCAGTTAGATGGACAGAACCCTCCCTGAACCCGCAAGAGTCCTTCCCACCCCGCTGCGCTGGCCCTCGGCCTCCAGGCACCTGCCAGGGAATCCCGTGTGTCCTCCCATCTTTACCTCCCACCTTTTTCCGTTGGCACTGATATCATTTCCACGTTTCTCACCACTACTGTACCAATTCCATTTAGACGGGATCTTGTGGCCTATTGAGTGACTTATAGATGACTCCAGGACTGGTGACTGGACAAGTGCATTGTAGGACAACTGATTAGATCTATAGGAAGATAATTGATTCAGAGAGGAGATTATGAAGCCTTGCCAGTGTGGAGCCGGGACTAGCTGCAATCTTGGTTTGGTATGGAAATGCACACTAGATAACAGGTCAAAGAGAAGTGAGGTGCTTCCCCTCCCACCCAGAGGTGCGGGAACTCCCTCTTGCTCCTCCCCTGTGCCTCCCGGACCCTCAGTCTTTAAATCTGATGCTGTTAATAAAGATGGGCTATTAACGTGTATGATAGTTCGTGTATGATTAGTGGTCCGTGCAATGCACATTCCTTGAACTAAGTAAGGCTTGTTGGCTGGTGAGAAAGAGGCTGAAGTGCAGGAGAGAGCCCGGTCCTCCTGGCCAATCCCTGGGCCTTACAAATAGCAAGCACTCCCGCATGCACTGTCTTAAATGGAGTTATTTCTTTCACTTCAATTTCAGGAAAATATTTATGTAAAGGACATTGAATATTTTTTGTAAAATTTGGATTTAATTTTAATTTCAGATTTAATTTGGAATTGTGCAAAGATTAATTTGGATGGCAAAGATTGCATGCCAGTGCGGTTATTTTATTTCAGGAAATTTTTCATAACCATACTTCATCTGTTAATATCCCTGTAAATTGAAAATTAATTTCTTGCTCCAGTTTACTTTCTTTTCTGGTTTCCTTTGGGGTTAAAGTCCATGTACAAGGGAGACTTATTTCAGAGCCAAAACTCTTAGAAAAATGTGGAAAGAAAACATTCTGCCAATGAATTAATAGGTTTTTTTTAATTAATTCAGCATAAAAGGAGCAGGAAAGATCCACAAAGCACTGGGAAATAAATCCTTGGAAATAGGGATGTGGGCAAGAGAGACGCCAAGACGTGGTGGTGTGGTCAGGTCTGGGGGAGCAGGATTAGCAAGGGCAGTGAGGATAATGACAGGTGGCCCTTCTTGCTGACTGATTGATGGACTGATTTTTACAATGAGTTGGACGGTGAGCTCTGCTTTGAGGACAGAGCTTTCCATGACCCCCTGGACTTTTCACTTTGCAGACCAGTTTCCATTCTGTGGTCAAAAGAGCCGAGATGTGAGCTCTCTTCCTGGCCGGGAGCCCCGGCGAGCTCCTGCCATCTTTGTTTCTCCTTTCTCCCTGCGGCTCCAGCCTGTGTGTTACTCAGCAAGTCAAGGCGCTGCTCTGTGCCTGGATTTCCCCTCTGTCGGATGAGCTAGGGGACTTCCAATTTCACTAACTCGTAGTCTTGATCAATCTCATTCCCTCCCCAACGTTTTATAAAGCGAAACATATACTTTGAAGGGGTTTTTGCTGCAAGAGAAAGAGGCAAATTCATCCTAAGCGTGTGGAATGTGCCTACCATCTAAGCCCTTCAGGGTCCACAAAATCTAACAGCCGGGCACACGCCCAGAGAAGATCAACGGGCAGCCAACTCTTCGAGACGGTTCCACCCACGTGGAACGCCTACCGCACAAACAGGGAGCAAAGAGGTGGCTGGCCAGAGAATTTTGTTGGAACTATAGAAAATTTTGAGAGCAAACAAGATAGAAAAAAAAATGACAAAAACAAGAGAAAGAGAACGCTCACATGGCACACACTGGACTGCTACCGTGGATTATGTCTTAGTCTGACCACTAAAACGTCGTAGCTCTGCTATCAAATCCCATTAAAGCATTTTCTTGATGGCAAATGTAACGAGGGGTTGGGGAAGTGGGAGCGGCTGGCATTACAGGATTCAGAAATAGTTTCATCTCATCCGATAAGGAAACAACATCTTTATTTGAATACCTAGATCAATTTTGAATTTATGATGACTAAAATTTGAAATCCAAAATCATCAAGAATAATAAAAAGTCTGGGACAAGACACTTCTCTGGCCTAAATAAACTTCATACGCTGAGAGATCTAGAAGAGGAAGAATAAGCTTCCAACATCGGAAGTGATCCCTTCTTTTTCATCTTACCTCGGAATCTCAGACAGAAAGAGAGAGCAACTCCCTCTGCTGGTTCACTACCTCAAATGCCTACAACAGCCCAGCCTAGGTCAGGCTACAACCAGTAGCCTGGAGCCCCATCTGGGTCTCCATCTGGTGTCAGGAAGCCAAATACTTGAGCCATTGTCTGCTGCCCCCCAGGAGTGTTGGCAGGCACTGGATTTGCAGTGCAGAGAAGCAAGGGTTCAGATCACTACTTCTGCATGCACGTCCCAGGTGATGTCCTAACCCACTGTGCTGCTACACCTGCCCCTTGCAAAACTGCCTGAAACACCCTCAGATTGTGTGTGTGTGTGTGTGTGTGTGTGTGTGTGTGTGTGTGTGTAGTTCTGTAATAGTTGGTAAAACTGGGGTCAGGGAAGTTAAATACCAAACCTCAATTGATGACTCAAAGGGAGTTTACACGGTCCAGAGAGCAGTTCATCTTTAGTGGGTTGGAAACGGGCATTTCCTGCCAGGTTTGAACCAGGAGGACACGATGAGTCTTTTATAAAGGAAAATCGGAGCAGGACATTCAGCCCAGTGACTGGGATGCCTGTGTGGAACATCCATATGCCATTTCAGAGTTCCTGGGTTCAAGTCCCAGCTCCACACCCACTTCCAGCTCCTGCTTATTAGCCTCAGCAGATGAAGATTCCAGTACTTGGGTCCTGGTCGCCCGTGTGTCAGACCTGAATGCAGTTTCTGGTTCTTGGTTCTGGCTTGGTTCTACTCGGCTTCTATGGGTGTTTGAGAAGTAAGTCAAACAGAAGTAAATCGGACAGAAGGTTTCTCTTTCTGTCTCTGTGTCTGTGGCCTTTGGGTAAATTAAATCTAGAAAATACTTTTTAAAAGAAAAGAAAAACAGAATAACCTGGCATTCAGGGCAGGACACACCATTGAGAGAACAGATGAATTCCCACCTTCGCTCATTCAAAGAAAAAGACCTGCGAGGACCCATAGCAAACACATGCCAGCCACTGCATTAGTGTAACCAAGGCACCCTGGGGATGCTCGGGGAGAGCAGGTGTAGGACCACGGAGGATGCTGGATTTAGGGACCAGTCACAGGTAGAGAATGGAAGACAGGGGCTAAGACTAAGAGGTCTCCACATTTTCCTTTGTTGCAAGAGCAATTACATTCAGGAGGGAGAACAACTCGTGGAAACACATCTTATTTTAGTCATTTTGAGCTAGGAGGAGCAGCCTGTCCTAAGGCATGCATTGAAAAGTTGCCTAGTTGTGTGCAGTTGCCTAATGACCTGAGTCAGTGCTTCTCAACTTTCACTGTATTTTCCTATCACCTAGGAAACTCGTAGAAAATACTGATCCTTGGGCCTCTCTCCAAAGCGCTTCAATTAGGACTCACTCTGAACTGCAGTGGGTGTGACCTTGACAATGAGCGTGCTTGGAAGCTCCCCTAAGGTGAGTCAGATGGGCAGCCAGCATGGACTTCAGCCGAAATCGCCCTCTCAGAGACACTGGGTCCCTGGAAACACGCCCAAGGCGTTCATGTTGGGCTCGTGAGAGCTGCTTACTAAACGGTCAGCCTCCTGTTTGAGATTTCCCGGCAACAAGGAAATTAACAACACTTTAAACCCATGAAAGTGGAATTTGTCTCTGAGGAAAAGAATATAAAGTGAAAAAAGAAAAATAAAAACCATAACTGAGAGAACATAGATGCCTGATGCTCCCCCAGAATCTTCCCTAAGGCTACACTCCCCCTCTCCCCAAAACACATATTTCTCTAGGAAAATGAGCATTTTGGAGCACAGCTTACATAGACAGCCTGGACGCCCTGGACAGAGATCCGGGACGTGTGTGTGAGCCCCTTGTGCAGTGCCTGCAGCCCCCAGCCCAAGGCTCCCCGGCAACAGCTCAGGGACCGCGCACGGCCTGCCCAGCCGCCCCCAGCAACTGGCAATGCTCTGCTGCCCCCGCCTGGCCAAGCCCGCTCTCGTCACGTCAGCCGACTGTTAACCACAGCTCCCACACCTCTGACCTCCGCGGTTGCAGCCTTGCTCTGCGGAACCCCTGGAGAGGTCCAACTGCAGGCGCTGTCCCCATTCAGGATCAGTACCGAACTAACCCCGTCATTTTTCTCCAAAGAACGTTTTCTCAGACCCATATCTCTTTCTGGCCATTTGTGACATCTTTCCTGTTCTTTACATATCTGACTGCTGAGACTTTTCTCTTAATTCACTTTTCCTTCTCTCTTTATTCAAGATTTTTTATTTTTATTTGCACTGAAGGCCCTAACCCGCATGTTTTGTTATAGTTGGTGCTCTTAAAATTGAAGGGAAGGGCCTGGTGCAGTAGCCTAGTAGTTCAATCCTCATTTTGCATGTGCCAGGATTCCATATGGGCACCAGTTCATGTCCTGGATGCTCCACTCCCCATCCAGCTCCCTGTTTGTAGCCTGGGAAAGCAGTTGAGGACAGCCCAAAGCCTTGGGACCCTGCACCCGCGTGGCAGAGTTGGAAGAAGCTCC